CCCATGATAGAGCCGCTCAATGGATACCACAAGTTTTTAAAAGGAAAGATGGAGTTCATTATAACTCCTGATCTTCCGCTGGTGCTAGCTGACTTCCTCAAGAAGTGCACATCACGAGACCCAGCAAAAAGGTGCAGTAGCGAAGACCTCCTAGCCCATCCATACTTGCAGGGAATAGCTGTATCTGCCAACCCGAGTGCAGAAACAATGAATAAAATGTACACATTTTAGAATTTGTGCAGCGGATAGACGGAGAGCAGCTATGGATATACAAACAGCAAAAGTGAAAAGTGCTACAATGGCAATAAAATTCTAAAGATGTTTATTTTGTTATTGTTTGAGTTTTTGAATAAACACTTTGAGACTGTTATGGGATACGGTGTGTTGTTTATTGTAGAGACTATTACACAGGGCGCGTTTGTTTATACATGTTACATCCATGGAGAAGAAAGAAGATGATACTGCCATTCTCGCTGGGATGGCTCTTCACGGGCAGCCGATGCGATGAAAGCTACGGAAAAGAGGATGCTCTCTTATCAGAGTCCAAAATAGCTGATGTTTCGGGGTACGTTGTGTTTGTTGCCCCGCTTGTCTGGGACTCTCTCATTTTTCAGACGTATATCAATGGGCGGTCGTACTCTAAGGCCGTAGACATCAGCAAAGAGATCGTAAACGAGAACATTAAAGGCCTGAAAAATATTATCAAAAAGCAGCAGACTTTTAAATCAGACATAAAAAGATTCTTGAGAATGTACGAGAGAGGACACATTGAAAGCTGCCCCAAGAGAAACAAGCTCTTTACGGGAATGCACGAGGTGATCCAGGAGGAAGAAATGCAGAAGAAGAGCATAGAGCCTGTTATTGTCTTCATCAACAAGCTCTCAGGACAGGCAGAGATGATTATGCGAGAGAACATCTACAAACTGATAAAAGCAGTGGAAAAAGAGAAAGACGGAAGCATTTGGATAACATACGGAAACGTCATTGACAAGGCTCTGCGAGCAATGCGCGAAAACACGTCGGTGAAGAACAGCCTAGACATAACCATAAAAGAGTTCAACACAAAGATATCGCAGATTTTACTGAATAAGGAAACAAACAGAATAGACTTCAACATGGAGAAAGCTCGGTTCAATTTGGGAGGCACAATATACAGCCCAGGCCTGCTGGAGCAGATAGCTGGCAAGCTGGATGACAGCGATAAAGACGTTTTTGTAGAAAAACTTGTTCGGGCTCTGATCAGCCCCGTGCTGAGCCTAAAGGCAAAAGTATCGGGATATACGCCCGAGAACATCAAGGAAGAGACAATAAAATACATAAAGTCAGTGACAGGCGTGATTGAGGTGTATTCGCTGAAAAAAGAGATAGACGAGGCGCAGGACATGAGATCTCAGTCCATATGCAGGAGAACACAGAGGATAGCAGATAAAAAGCCCATATCACACAAAATAGACGAAGTTCAGATGAAAAACACGCAGAGAATGCTCAGGGTTCTTCAGGAAGCAGATCCAGCTCTCTTCAAAGATTTTATCACAATGGATACAAACATTGCAAAAAAGTACGTGGAGTATATTAGAACGGGAGGCGGCGACAAAAAGTTAAAACAAGAAATTGAACTATTCTTTAATCTGCGCTAAAAATAAACTATACATGGATTCTTTACTGTTTACTTCTTGGTGTTCTTCTTTTTTCCTTTTTTAGGAGCGTCTTCTTCTTTTTCCTTTTCTCTTCTGCTTGGCTCTTCTTTTTTGTTTTTCTTTTCTTTTGTTTTTTTAGAGTCTCTGGAGGGCTCTTTTGTCTCCAAACTTTCTGTTTTTTCTGTTTTTAGTGCTACTTTCTTGGCGCTGGATTTGTTGCTGGGCTGCGAAAGTCTTTTCTGCTGTACATTTGGACACTCTGATAAAAAATGCTTCTTTGATCCGCAGCCATTGCAAAGTTTTATTTCTGTGCTTTTTTGAGACTGCGTGCTCATAGGGCAAACATTTACCTGGTGGCTTCTGCTGTAGCAGTGGGAGCATTCTACCCTCTTCTGCTGCGCAGAGTTACACGCTGTTTCGTTGTGGCCCATGCGCTTGCACTTTCTGCAAATGTATTTTGGACAATTTGATTTTTTGTGGTCTGTTTTGTTGCACAGGAAACACGTCTGGGGAGACTTTACGCAGTCTCTTGCCATGTGGCCTGTTTGGTTGCATCTGTAGCAGACAGTTGTGCACTGGAAGTATCTGCTGCTTTCTACGGGCTGCAGCTTCTTGAGGTGCGTTATCGTGTGGCTCTTTGAGCTCCCAAAGTGCACTAGCGCATATATTTCATTTTCTATGTCGCTGCAAATCGACTGGTCTTCGCTTATTTCCGAGATTTCTTTAATAAGCAAATTGTCTGCGATTTCGGGCAGCTCCAAGACTGTCTCGTGCAACATGTTATTAAGCATAGCAAATTTTTAGAAAATGAAAAATATTACTATGGCGTATTCTCATTTGCTATTTGTGGACGCAATAAACTCATGGGGCCCTGTGGACGACATAGTGGACGAAGGCCTGACGGATAAAGAGATAGAAGTGATGGCAACGTGTATAGCTGAGACTCTCTCAGAAAAAAAGATGCTTTCTATGCACGATAAGCTGGTGCTAGAGCTGGAAGAGTTTTTGTTCGATGTGCTGGAGGAGTATGGAGTGTCCGTCACTGATGATTTGCTCGCAGACCTGGTAAAAAAAATAGTAAGCACACACAACAAAGCCATAAAATAGCTACTACTATAAAAATTTGACATAAGAGTTATGGCAGTAGCTCGTTTAGAATAAATCATAAATATAAAGATTACTGAATGCGTAGAGTTTTCTAGTTTTATACTGTAGTGAATATAATTTTAATAAAAAATAATTGCATGCGGTGCAAATGAAACATACTCTCTGTTTGCAGTGATAGCTCTATGAATAGCAGCTATCTTTTAGTTTTATTTTACAGTGCCTATAGCTGCATGAGAACATTGGTGAAGATAGAAAGATAAAGAAAAACAGAAGTGCATTTATTATAACTTGAGTGCTGTCCTATCCGCGGAGCAATCATCTCTTAAATAGTATACTTCTAAATATCCAGCACAGAGTGAAAAGTGACAGCTATCAATAATAGATAAGAATCTAGCAAGAAACAGCAGCACATAGCAAAACCTATCTACGAAGTTTTAACATTGTTTGTTATTGTGCAGAACATGATATTCTCTTGCGTTAGTCTTTGTATAATATTAGTGTCCACAAACAGGGATCCTGGAGTGTGCACTCCGCCCTTGTCCTTGAGCAGGCCAGAGACACTGCTGAGGATGGTCTCTGCAGATATGAGAAGAGTGATGGGCGTGGTTATGTACCCAGGGTCAGGGCCTGACACAAGAGTCTTAAATACCGCTGGCTTTCCCTCTGCATCCTTTCCCTTTGTGAATATCCGTGTTTGAAATCCAGAGCATGCGATCTCCTGGTCGCTAGGCCCTTCACTTCGCACCTTCCCTAAGCTCAGAAAATCGATGCAGTCGTATGCTACTCGCCTTAGCACTTCGGGCAGCATATAAACCACGCCTATAAGCAGACACAGCATCACAAGAAAGACCATCCCAAAGATCGAGGGAATTGCGATGTAGCAGTGGCACACAGGGTATCCCCTGCCCAGAGCCTGTCTTGTTTTTCTGAGAACGTATGCGTCTGAGCCTGGGAATATTGCAGCATACATTCCTATATCTGAGCAGAAAAAAGGCATCTTTTTCACTTTTCTGCCTCTCGAAGATTCTGCGTCTTTTTTTTCTTTTTTGCTTTCTGTCTTTCTGCTTTGTTCTCCTCTCTTTTGCTCTTTTTTTCTATTTTTGAGCGTGTCCAAGCTTGTGATGATTGTCTTGAATGTTCCCAGGTTTATTCTGCTGTTGATCAGCTGCATGTACGACTCTGCGCTCTCTGCGGCTCCGCCTTTCTTTTCTATCTCTTTCATTGTGTAGTTGATGCCAATGTCGAGCGGCAGGGAGTCAAAGCCGCATGCGTGCACAATCATCACATTTTCATTTTTTGCTTTTTCTTGGAAGAGCTGAAAGCTTTCCTCCATGAACCCTGGCTCGCCTGTGCAGTCAACGTAGTGGGTTTTTGCACGAATGCACGCCTCTACCACGCTCAGGCCTGTGTTGGCAAAAGGCCCTATGCAGTTTATCACTACCTTGTACCCCTCAAAAATCTTTGCGAGTTTGCCAATGTTCTCTACGCCAATGATGTGGCTTTCTACTCTGCTAAGAGACTTCTTGCACTTTGCAGAGATCTCTTTGAATGTCAGATTGAGCTTGTTCTCGCTCCTGCACGTCACACCTACTGTTAGATTTGGCCGCTGGTCAACTATGTATTCCAGCAGCTTCTGTGCGGTAAACCCGTTTACTCCGCAAATCAGTATGTCTTTCCTGTTCTCTTCCATTTTCGCAATTTAGTAAACAAGAATTAATTAAATATCCAATTTGCATGCAGGCGAATTTAAATGAAAGATACCAGTAATCAGCCCAATGTGTCCGTTCAAGAGTGAAATATCATTCAACAGATAAGCATTTAGAATATAATACTACAAGAAAGGAGAAATAAAAACTTCCTCTTTTTCTTCCTTTTCAAGCTCCCATCCATCAGAGACCAGCAGCTTCACCTCCTCCTCGGAAATGGGAGCGTGCGAGAACTGGCAGTTCTTTCTTCTGCAATTCTTCTTTATGTGGAAGAGCTTGCAGGGGAACTTTGACAGATCGTGGGAGAACGTGCAGTTGCTTCCTCGGATGCACGCGTTCTTTACGAAGTATTTGCATAAGTGCTTTTTCTCTGGCTTAAATGGCATATTTTTAAGCAGAGAGTTCTCGTCTGTTATTTCGCTGGGCTTTGCCATCTTAAGTTTCTTATTTCGAACAGCTTCCTTTTTCTCGCGAAATCTTGGAACTGAAAGTTTCGGCAGTCGTGGGAGTTCTATAATAACCATACAAATTGAAAAATAGAAAATTTTTTGCATTTTAACTCAAACAATGAATAAAGAACTTAGAAATAATTTTTGTGTGGAAAAATATCGCATGGCAAAGGAGTACAGAGTTAAAAGCGCGCAGGGGAGAAAGTCGTACGCAAGGCTCATAGCCATCCAGCTGGTCACTGTGGCTCTGTTTGCAATGCTTGTGCAGAGCAGAGAGATGAAAAAGCCCATAGTAAATATAAACGATGGAATGAAAACGGGCAAGAATGTGAAGGACGAAAGAACAGAGGGAGTTCCATCAAATAGCAGAGGAGTGGAGGAAAGAGACATAGCATATCAGCTCGATCTATCCGAGAAAAGCAGCAGAGAGGAGGAAGAAAGCATCGAAGAAGAAGAGGCTAAGATTGCCAGCTTTGTGGAGGGAAAGAGAGCTTATCATGATAAAGACTACGAGCTAGCTCTTGATCTCTTTGAGAAAGCAGAGAAAGAGTACTCTAACTTTGTTTCAGAAAATAAACAGGAGGAAGTCAGAAGGGCTATATCTCTGTACAAGGCCAAGTCTCTGTTCGATCTGGGGCACTTTTCAGAGACGGCAAAAGAGATCATTCACATGGGCACGCTGGAGAAAGAGGCGATTGCTCTTCTGCAGAAAGCAGCGGCCTTTGAAAAGCTCAACTTAAACTCAGATCCAAGCGAGATCGATAGAGCTCTGATGGAGTGCCCAAACTCAGCGCATCTGCTGGCACTGAGGATAAAAATGAGAATTGCAAAAAAGCTGTACAAGATTGCAATGCTTGACATAGAAAAGCTCAGAGAAATAAAATCAAGCGAAGAGAGCGCAAACCACTACGAGATACAGTGCCACTTCCTCAGCGGAAACTACACTCACGGCTTTAGCCTGCTGAAAGAGCAGAAAGGCTATGAAAATCTGCACGAAAAAGCCAGCAATATTGTGCAGAAGTACGAAAGCATAACCAGATACTACTACAGACCGTCAAGCACCAATTACAAAATTCTGCAGAAGTTTATAGATAAAGACCTGCTTCTGGCGAAAATGACGGACTCCAGATTCACTCCCACTATATTCACACACATTATAGTAAAGTCTCTGCAGTCTGTCGTTCAAATGGGGCTCAAGGTGGATCCTTCAGCTAAGGTAGTAGAATACTCGGAGAGGCTCCTTAAGGAAGAGGCAGACTCGGGTGCTCCAACAGAGGAGCAGTGGGCAGCCCACATAAAAGTGCTTATGGAGAGGAATAAGTTCGCACAGGCTCTGAACGCCATCAAAGAGCACATGGTGAAGGACAGTGCAGAGTATACAAAGATAAAAGAAGTGTACAACAAGAAAGTAAAGATAGCAAGAGAGAAAAAAGACAGAGAAGATGCTATCAAAAAGAAGAGAGAACAAGAACAAGAAGAAAAAGAGAAGAAAGCAGCACTTGAGAAAGAGAAAAAGAGATCGAAGAGAAGAATGGAAATTGTGAAGTCAAAGAGAGGAAAAAAGCTGGATTCCGAGGGGTTTTACAGGTTCCTAAACGTCAAGCACGCTGCACCTATAGAAGTTGTTCTGAAAGCATATAGAGAGCTGAGCAAGAAAGCAAACATCTCCAGGAGAAAGAGCCAGAAAGACTCCAAGGCTGTTGAGAACTCAAAGCAAATAATTATCCAGGCGAACAAGGCAAAGGATGTTCTGACAGATAAAATCAAGAAAGAAGAGTACGACAGCGGATACTACATGACAGAGAAAGAAAAGGAAATGTGGGGATACAACGACGAAATGATGGACTATGACAATGGCGGAGGATATGGCGATCCATATGGAGGCCATGCAGACATATTCGAAATATTAATGAATGGCGGAGGCTTTGGCGGCGGATTCGGGGGTGGATTCGGCGGCGGGTACAGTGGCGGATACAGCGGGGGAGGAACTCGCAGAGTAGTATATTACATGTGATGATGGACAGAGGTAGAGCTACTGGTTCATCAGAGCGTGCTCGTTAATAAGCGAAATAAATGCTAGTTAATTGGGAGAGTTTTTGTAGTTTATTTTCTATTGGGATGGGGTAATTTTCCATATATGGTTGTTTGTACTTTTATTCTATGTGCTAAATCAGTAGAATCATTTTTACTGTCTCTATGAATACGAAAGAGCAAAATCGCAAAGTGTTCTGAAGTATTCTATCAATGCGTGCTCTTAGGATATATCCGTAGAGTGGGATAATGCATTTTGTTATGTGGTCTAGTTTTGATTGTTTTTTATCTTTAGGAGAGGCTCTTTCGTTATTCTTTCTTTTACTCTGGATGCAACCGATACATCTTCACAGAGTTTTATAAATAGACGGGATTTGATTGGCGTGCTGCTCAGAAGGGTGAGATCGGTGGTGCCAAATGTGCACTCTGCAAGGACCAAAGGGCACGGGTCTGATAGTTTTATGTCTTTTTCCTGTTTTTCGTTTTTGTTGAGTATATTTTCTATTCTGATGTCAGACCCCGCGCCTATCATCGATAGAAGTGAAAATATTTTCCTTACTTGGTTGTGCAGGAAAGAACGCGCTTTTATCCGCATGAGGTATACCTCTACTCCCGTGTCTGAGTCTTCAGACACTTTTTCAAACCTAATTGAGTCAACAGTTCGGACGGACTCTTCTGCCTGTGTCTCGTCTGGTGATAGTTTTTGTTTTTTTTCCAATCTTTTCTTTTTAGATACTTCTTTTTCCTGTTTTGATAATCTTCCAAACCAGTGCGTGCCGACCAAGAGACTGCTTGCCTTCTGCATTTTCTCTATGCTAAGAGTGCCTTTTGCAAAATAGTACTCGTACTCTCTGGAAGTGCAGGAGAATCTTGCGCTGAACGTTTCTTCTACAGGCATCCAGCCAAGAATTCGTATGCTGTCTGGGAGGTGCTGGTTCAGCATTACATCGTACGGGTAGCTCTTACCTGACTTTGCGCATGGGAGAAAAATAGATATGTACTGTGCTGCTGCCGAGACTCCTGCATCTGTTCTCCCGCATTTGTAGTACTTCATTTCTGAAATGGCTGTTAGAACGCTCTTTGAGAACGTAAAAGTTTTAGGATCTGGGATGCTTTCTTCTGTGCTGACAAAATTGCATTTTATGAAGCTCCAGAAGAGATAGTGCTCAACTGTTGGCAGCGAGGGCTGGTACGCGAATCCGTGGTATGCATCTCCGCTGTACGAGAGTTTTAGCAGGACATTCATTGAAATATTATTCTTCATGTTTAAATAAAAAATTATGCAAGAAGACGGCAAGGCAAGCAAACGCGACCAAGTGTTTGACTTGGAAAAGTACGTTGGAAAGAACGTGAAAATATCGTTCTTTGGAGGTATACAGGTGGCTGGGAAGTTGCTGGGGTACGATCAGCTGCTGAATCTTGTTCTAGAGAACGCAAGAATGGTGGCTTTTATGAACCCAGAGGAAGAAGAGAGTCTTGCTGGCCTATTCTCAGAGCCGCCCTCTAGCATGATGTGCAAAGGAGTGTCCATCTGCTCAATAGATCTTCTGTCAGAGCCTGAAAAGTCAGAACAGTTTCCATACTCTGATAACGCATACTATACTATATCTCAATAATAAAACTATAATTCAAGATAAAGACATCTTTCTTTTTATCTGTGCTTGCTATAGTCTATGGACAGCTTTCTTTGCATCTTTATTTGTTCTAAATTCTCTATTGTTTTTTGATTTGTGGTGCTTTGCAAGCTGTACAAATAGCAGAGTTTTTTCGAATTAGAATTTTTATTTGAACATGTTAATTTCAATTTTTAAAAAGCTTATTTGTATACTTTTATTTTACTTGAGAACAGTTAGTATATTTAAATTAGTTTATTAGCTAGATGACTGGTGAAAAGAAGCTCCACTACAACTATCTCTTCAAATAATCAGGAATTACTCCGCTCTCTGGCTCAGGTATGAAAGGACGCTCTGGGTCGTACAGAGGATCATCTTCTGTGTTAAGGGATGCAAAGTCTGTCTCTTTTGTCCTAGTAAACAGCTCTAAAAAGACGCATAGCTCTTTATCATAGACGCTTTTCTCATTTTTAAACTCTCCAAGAATGGCACACAAGTCTGTGCGGTGTGATAGTTCATACTTTGTTCGGATATTTTCAGCTATTTCCTCTATTTTCATGACATGCTCAGTTTGGGATCTGGCTTGAAGAATCAGCTCGCTGAGCACGTACTGCACATACTCTTCTTCGTATCTTCCTCCCACTGTGTTTCTCAGCTTGGAGCTTCTTCTTTTTTTCTTTGTGTTTGTGGACTGGCTGCCAGATAGGAATGTGTTTGTTATGAATGAGCGGGTGTAGACGGTCTCACAGTCATCATCTGCGAACATTCCATCAAGGATTTCTGCTCTTTCCCTGTCTTTTCTCTCTCGCACTGTCTGAAGGCGCGCACTGTTTTCTTTGTACTTCTCTATTGTGCTTTGCACACTGTTTGCATACGATTTGATCTTCTGAGTGAGTGATTTTATCGTAAATTGTATTTCATTTTCCATATTTTCTTTTTCAGCAATCTCCAGTACTCTGTTGTAGTCTTCTATTTCAATGAGGTACTTTATGCCTTTAGCTAAAACTCCGTATCTCACATTCAGCAGAGCAGCTGCCCGCACATTCTTCTGTGATAGAAGAACTTCCTCCATCTTTTGGATGTTTTCTGCTGTTCGCATTTCAGGCGCCATAAACAGGTCTTCCCACTTTCCAAGTTTCATTCTTAAGCTGCGCACTTTCTCAGCAGATGATGGCCCAGCTTTTAGATAGCAGTTTAGCGCATCTTCATTGTCACCTTCTTTCGATAGACTGTCTCCAGACTGCATTAGAAGAGACTCTGCAACACTTTTTATGGTGTTTGTGTCATCTCCAAACGTCCAGTCGCTGTCGGTGCAAAGGTCAGCATCTAACAGATACTGGTAGAAATCTCGGATATACTCTTTTTCAATGGAGAGCTTCAGCTCTTTTATCTGCTGATCCCACACTGCTGAAGAAGGGTCTTGGGGTGCCAGAGTGTTTACTATGTATTTTTTGATGAGATAGATAGTTTGTTTTTTCTTGTCTTTTGCAACTCTTGCTATTTTAAGCCTTCTTTCCATCTCTTCTTCCATATTAAATGGGTTGATATTTTCAGAGCCATCCACCAGAAGAACGTCATTTGTTACATCCTGAGGCGTGTCTGTGCACAGAAGGATTATGTAGCACAGGGTGTATGCATACCTGTTGAGAGCACACTGCAGGAGAACATCTGAAGAGATGGCGCCAATGCACTTTTCAATGATTTTTCTGGCGATCTCGTGCTCACCAAGGAGAAAGAACGCATTCGGTGATATTTCTTCTTTTTTTGTAAATCTCTCTGCGAGCAGGACAATAAGCTCTGGCTTCTTCTTGTACAAGTACACTTCAACTGCTATACTGCACCACGCAAATACACTGCTGTTTGGATTGGCATTCTCGGATTGCAGAGACTCTAGTATTTGCTGCACGGCGTAGTTTTCTATCTTGTCTATCATCCACCCCGATGACTCATCTTCATTGAAAAGCAGCTTTACTATTTCAAAGAGCGTTCTGGGCTGGATTCTACCACTCTCCAATTCGCATGAAATTGCATCCAAAAAGCGTGCTATCGACAGCCCGTGTTTCTTTGCTAGCGCAACTGCAGATGCAATGTCTCGTTTTTTGATGAAAATATCCACCTGGTGCTCCAGCATAAAAGCGGGGTAGAATGTTTCCAGCATTCCGTAAGTGTCCATCATAATTACTGACATTTTAGATGCAAACACTATTCTACTCTCTTTTCCTGTTTTGGCCACTCTTTCCTGTGTTATTTCGTCTGTGGTGCTGTTTAGTGAAATTTTGTATACTTCTGTCCATGCCTGTGATTTTATAGAAGCAAGCAAATAGTGTGCATCTGTGCACACAGGCGCCATTGACGTTACATTTTCTATTTTACTCTCCTTTCCGCCTATTTTGATCTTGAGCGTGGTGTTGTTTAATGTAAGATATGCTTTACGGTCTTTTATGAGCATTTCCATTCGATCTACTACACTGGGTATCTCTGTGGTCTTCATTCCAAGAGACAAACTGTTGACTCTTTCTTCCACTGTGCCGTTATTCTCGGTGTTTATCATTAGACTGTACTTTTTCTTTTTTACGGTGTAGCTAATATAGCCGTTGGAATGTGCAGATAAATGAGAAGGAACGCCCTCTAGCTTTATCTGCCGCGTGTACAGTGGTGGGGGTATTGGACACTTCAGCAGGTTGTACATGATAACTCTAGATCCATCTATGTCAATTACGTCACTTTCTGTCCTGTTAACACAGGCTTTCTGGCTTAGTTCTACTATTTCATTGTTTGTTACTATTTTTATATCATACTGCGAAGTGACCACTACATCTCTGACGCAGTCGACAGACTTTGTGCAGATGTCTGATAGATCTTGGTTGATTTTAAGGTAGATGCAGTTGTTTTTTATGTAGTACACTTTCAAATAGTGTCTCTGCTTCTCCTGGTTTACAATGTACAGGCAGTCTTTGCGCGACCGAATAAAGTGTATATTGTTCTCCTCCATGTTTTCTTCTTTTTTGTCGCATTCTCTGACGTGGTACACTTCTTTATACTTCAGCGCATTTCTTTCTAGAATGTGTATGGAGTTGTCGTGCGTGACTGCGTATATTAGAGAGAATCTGTCGTGCCAGCTGGCCAGTTTATAATCAGATCTTTTTTCAAAAACAACGCTGTTCTTCTGCAAGGTGTCTTCGGTGGCAATGCAGGTGTCATCTGGCACAGACACTCTCTTGACGCTATCCACATACGCACTTTCGTTCATAAGAAACTTCTTCGTCTGCATCAGCCTGCTGTTCATGATTTTGTTGCACACCACCAAAGTGTCTGCAATGAACTCCAAGTTGTATGCGAATACAGAAATAATGGTGCCCATGCAGACAAGAATGTACTTCCCATCGGGAGACCACTCTGCTGTGATTCTTGGTGTCTCTTCCTTCTCAAGCACCGTTTGTATTTCGGCCTTGTACTCTTCTTTTCTGACAAGATCAAAGTATTTATCGAGCAGAAGTATTTCCTTTTTTGTAAAGATAAGAATGTTTCCGCTGTTTTGGTTAAAAAACATGCCTAGCACTGTTTCGTCCATCTCTCCAGCACACTCCCACCTGTACCTATCTTTTTTCTCAGCTCTGAGTATGTGCCCAGATGCTGTGGCAACTTTAAATGTCTCTCCATCCTGCGACGCATAGAATCCTACTGGTCCCTCGTACTCTTCTATTCTATCGGTAACAGGCGCGCACGGGCTGTCTGCTGGGTACACTGCATTATCTGTCAGTATAAACCCGTTGGAAAGCAGGCCGTTGGAGCACTCGCATATTTTCGTTTTGTGCAGTATAATATTTTCCATTAAAATTACAGAACAAATTTTTTATTAAAACTCTGCTCAGTACGCTTTCCATCCTGGCCCAGCACAAGAAAATAACTGTAAAGAAAGGAGAGTATAGAAAATTAACATTTAATTTAAATAGAAGGAATTAGACACTCTAATGACCTAGTAGAGGGCTACTGCTTATTGCCTGATCTTGGCTACGATCTTTTTCTTCCTGTGAACTTGGAGGTTCTTGGAACATCGAAGCCTCTTTCCATTCTCTTCTGCTTCTTTCTAATTATCCAGTCTCTGAGCTCGAGGTCTTTGTTCGCTGTGACTTTTTTGTATTTGCTCTTCTCTCTCGTGGCTGGCACGTGGTTGGACTCTCCTTTGGCGCCTGGCATTTCAAGGATCAGATACGTCTTTCTTTTTTTCTTGCTGTCCTGATTCTCAACGAGAGTACCGCCTGTAAACCCGTACTTTGATGCGCACTTTACAATGGCCTCCATCTGTTTGTCGGACTCTGGGTAGTACTGGAGCACAGCCATCCCTTTTGTCTTAAGAACATCGTAAAGCGTGTAGAAAAAGGCATTTAGCAGCTTTTTTGACTCTTTTTGCACTGCGAGCCACTGAAGTACACTCACGCTCACAGCATAGTCGAAGGTGGCGCTTTTAAAAGGCAGGCCTGCTCCAATGTCTACCGCTGCAAAGTCGCAGTATTTATTAGCTGGCACCTCGTTGTATGTGAGGCTTCCGATTCTTTCTTTTGCCAGATCCAGCATTTTCATGCTTATGTCAATTCCAACGACATAGTTATTATTATCAAGAATGTGCTCGGTGCTTATGCCGCTTCCGCAGCCTATATCGAGGACAAAGGAGTCTTTTGGGTTTCCCAAAATATCCAGACACCTTTCTGTCAGCCTGCTTTGTATGTTGTTCAAGCTAGAGCTGCTATCGTATTTTTCTGCGGTTTCTCCCGTGTAGTAAACTTTAGCGCCAAGACTCTCTGGTCTGCCCATAAAAATTTTATTGCGGGCAGTGAAATAAAATAACGAACTACTGCAGGCGCTGGCACATAAATAATTGAACAAACAGAAGAACAGAGAAGAAAAGAAGATGAGAAGTGCAGGTGTGTAAGTAGAAGAGATATAAGTGAAAAATAGATATTAAGATTGAAAGATGCACTGAGTAAGGAAAGACCGATAAAGATAAAGATAAGATAAATTCTGTGCATAACTAGCTCTTCTCCAAATATACAAATAAAAGTACAGTATTACTGAAATTCATTCAACCACAGCATCAGCAAAAAAATACTTGTAATTTGATGAAGTAAGCCAACAAATAAAGAAAATAGAGCAAGACCTATCAGATCAGTGCAAATAAACAACAATCTGCATTTATTTTATAAACAATTCAATAGACACAGCAATGGACAGCTGCTCATACAGTGTTCTTCCTCAGTACTGCACCTTGTATGAGTGCACTCAGTGCGCACCATTGAACAGTGCACTGAGCTAAAGACTTTCCTGCAATTGTAATAATAATAGTTCACCCAAGAAAGATAGAAGACGGATAAGTTGGAAAGTTTTTAAGGCAGCAGGCCAAGTTTCAAATATACTGCTGTTGCATAAACACAAGCTCCAGAAATAGCCTCACGCTATCACATGGGAATATAGCTACATGGGACACAGGATTTCGAGTAGGATTTGTAGAAGTCTCTGTACCCCCCTTCCATCACATACACATTGGGGAACTTAAGATAGGGATACGCACTTTTCAGTCTGTCTTCATTTCGGAGAGAAATTGCCAGTCTGGGAGCGCGAACTGACGAGTACTCGCAGTAGAATATGATGATCAGCGAGGAGTCTTTTCCCTCGTCCAGAAGATCGTTGAACAGCTTTTTGATTTCTTTTTGTGTGGTTATATTTATCGCAGACTGAATGTGTCCGCCTGTGTACTCGTACTCAAATCTGCAGTCAATGAGAACAAATCCAGGCTTTCCCAGTAGAGAGGCTACAGTTCCTATAGACACGCGGAAGATGCTATCTGAGGGGCCCGTTCCTATGGAGGGCAGCGCATTGGGAACGCACGAGGACACTTGCTCTTCCTTGTGCGAGGTGCACACCATGTCTGTCTCTGACTTGCTGATTGTGCTCGCGCGCGACCAGTGGTGGGCTGGCTGTGTGGAGTTGCTTCTTCTTCTTTTCAAGTGCCCAAGCTTCTTAGTGAGGATGCTGTTGCTCTGTTTCTCTTGGAAGACCGAGGACCCATCGAGATCTTTCTTTTGGTACGAAATAGCATTGATTAGATTTTCATCTGGAGACTCAGCCTTTCTTTTCCTCGGGAGCTCTTCTGCTGCTTTTCTCCACCTAAGCTCTTTATTAAATATTTCTTCAAACGTGTACGAAAAGGTAACGGAATTAATTTGCATTTCGCTCTTCAGAATTTCTTCATAGCCCATCCCTGCTTTTGCCCTTTTAGGCGCTGTGCTTATTCCCTGCACCAGTGTTTTCCCTATTTCCTCCATTTCCCTCTCGTCCAGTATGATAATATCTAACTCAGACTCCAAATTGCTCATGGAGGGCATACAAAATAAAAATATATAAGACCTAAATTACTCGGCCAAATATTCGATCATTCCCTTTCAAAACATGGATAAAACAATCTTTCCAGTTGAGTATATATTGTTGTTTGTTTGCGTGCGAATGTTTGAAACATTCACCATTAGAACAAAGCCAAATGAGACAAGCCCTTTTAAAAGCGACTCAAAGTTTTCTCTCATGAAGATGCTTTCTCTGGACCCCCTGCGCTCTCTCAACGCCGACGAGTTTGCAGCCTGGGTGCTCCTCACTCTCTTCATATGCTTTGTCTACTACATGTACTCGCTTCTGAAGGCCTCTATTATGAAAAAGATATTTGCGCGATCGGCAGGCAGCCACGAAGTGTACAGCTCCAGAAGCTCTCTGGGCAAAGAAGAGTCCGAGAAAGCTGGGACGCTGTAGAGCCCTGCAAAGCATCTGCCAGATATTCTCAAGCTGAGCATCGGTGCGCCAAGAGTTCAATGAATAAAAAGAGCCTGGGGGCGTATAACGGACTTAAAGAGAGATAATTCTGCTGATATGCACTGCGCTGTTTATTATTTGGCTTTTTATTGATTTTTAAATTTGGGTGCATTTTCATTTCTTGAGAATTCTCTGTCTCATTTTCTTTTATTTTTTTATCCCTGTAATGACTAATAAAGTTATAGCAGATATTCAAACACTACCAGTATTAGAGAAGAACCCCATCCCAAAAGGGAAGGGAGCAAGATGCTGCAGATCATGCATGAACAGAAGAGGTATTATTAGAAAGTATGAGCTGATGATGTGCAGAAGATGCTTCAGAGAGTACGCCGAGGACATTGGGTTTGAAAAGGTAAACTAAATAAGAATAAAACTAAAATAGCTATACTGTCTATACTGTCTTTGCGTGCATTCTAGAGTCTGAGAAGATATCTTTCAGCTCTGCACACTTTTATCCTACTGCCATTGAAATGTACAAATTTTTCTTCTTCTAGCAATGAGTCTTCAGAGCTCTAGACCGCATGAAAGTATTTGCATTGAGAGTTTTAGTGTGCACTGCTCTGATTGCTTTGCTTTTTGGGCTGCAATGCAGTGATGAAGTGTTCTGTGATGGTGATGAAAAAGTGCAGAATGAAAAATGAATAAATAGTTGCAGTTGGCTATCATAAAATAAGTAAGTCTTGGGTATGCGATTTCTTTATTTATAATGAAGCTCCATGCCCCCAGTGATTAGCTGTAAAAGATCCTTTATTTTCCTACTTTTTGCGTGCTTCTTTGGCCGCTGATCGCAGAGGCTTGCTTTTTTGTGGGGTGGCGGACTTTGCAGCTGGAGGGGCTTCTTCAAAATACTTTGGCTTCTGTTTTTTATCCTTCGATGCGCTATCAGAGCTCTTTTTCTTCTCTTTTGCTGGTATCTTTTCTTTTTTTACAGTTTGTGTCTTTTTTATCTTTTCAAGCACTTTGGGCAGCTCTCTGATGGCAGCCTTCCTTCTGACCTTCTTTTCTCTGATCTCACCGTATGCTGAGCTATCGCTTACCTCGCCCGTCTCTTCTCTCTGCTTTGTTATTGCAATGCAGTCTAGAACAGACCACGCCATCAGAATAGCTGATATAATATACGGATACACTTCGTATTTTGGCACTTCTGCGTACTTCAGAATGAAGAACCCCACCATTGCCACGTCCTTCATCATGCACTGCTTGATTCCCGGCCTTCTTCTTCCGTCAATGTACAGGATAAATAGTACGGCCATGCTAAATAGGCTCACTCCAAAGAGGTATGGAAGACTCCTGGTCTGAGAAAGATTGATGGCAGCGAACAGATCCCAAATGCAAAAGATCGAGCACAGGATAACTGCCACTCTGCTCTTCCTCAGCTGAAGGGAGAGATGCATGCATATGGTAAACAGAAAGGAAAAAAGAATGGTCATGGCTATATTTTTGAGAGGAGCTGGCTCGAGTGTCAACAAAATATAAACATAAATTAATGAAATACCTACCTCGTGGACACTTTTAAATCCGCGCCCATTTAGGAAGCAGCAGGTGATGCCTGCGCGGGCAGCCAGTTTCAGCACATCGTAGCTAAGCATCATTCCTGTCCAATCTTTCATGCTCTGTGATACGCTCGAAATGTAAACAAAATTCATACGCAAATAATCCAAATATTATTTATGTGATTGCTAATAAAGCCAGGAAAAAGAATAAACAATACAAAAGTAAAACTGTGAGGCACAAAAACCAGAGGAAAGAGAAATGCAAAGTGTCCCAGAGAGAATAAAGAGCACTTTAAACTTAAGCACTTATCCTGCACTAATACAGAAATAGCAGCAGTTCCATGGCTAATTTCTTTAATTACTGTGGGTAAGTAATGACGCGGATAAGTCCCAGATTAAAATTAAAACCAGCAGATGGTAGATGGTCTATAAGATAGTAGCTGCAAAATATTCCATCCAGAGCTATTCTCTAGGTCTTGCTAGTACAGTGCTATAGCCATGGAGAAAATGCATGCGCACAGCCAGACAAATTTTTAATTAAATGTTGGTGCAATATTAAGATAATTTATTTATCTGCTGGACTTAGCAACTCTTTCGATTTCGTCTCTCTTCTTTACTCCAAACGAGTTGGGGTTTCCTCTAGATGCTGCAATCAGCTCGTCTGCGATGGTTTCTGGGAGAGTCTTTGGGTTTTTGAAGGCGGCCTTTCTCATTCCGGTGGTGAGGAAGGAGATGGAGAGGTTGAGTCTTCTCATTGGAGATACGTCTACGGATGATCTCTTGGCGGATCCTCCCTTTCCAATTCTAGAAGTGGACTCTCTTGGGCCTGCGTTGATGCATGCATCGACGAGGATCTGGATGGGGTTCTTCTTGGTGAGTCTTTCTATGATGATGAAGGAGTCTCTTATTGCCTTTAGGACCAGCAGAGACTTGCTTGTGTTTCTTCCGTGTCTCATCAGGCCGTGGGCCAGTCTCATGGTCAGTGGCATTCCTGCTTTCTCGAAAGACTTTTTGCAGTAGCTTGCTCCGGTGTGGGGTACAGACACTCTGGTGTGGATATTCATGTATGGCTTTAGTGAAAGGTCCTTTACTTCGATGTCGTCGTAGGAGAACTTTCCGAATAACTTAATCGTGTTTTCTTTTGACTGTACTTGATTCATGCAGGGTGGTAAAAAAATAAAAATGAAAAGCCGAGTTTGCATTTTGCCACTGGGCGCAAAAATAAGCAAATTTTCTGTCTCAGAGGACTTTACCGCTACATTCCCCGTGGTAGTGTCGGGGTACACGCTTATTGACGGAGAGCACAGAGGAAACTTGGTCATTGGCCTGCGCATTTACAGTCTGCTTGAAATGAAAGATTTGCTGTGCAACTTTCTGGGATACTCTGAAATAAAAAAAGGAATAGAAGAGCTTCTTTTGCCTGCAGACTCTGCAAAGATAAGTGATATTGTAGAAAAGTACGAGAAGACGGGAGACCAGCCTATCACAGACGAATGGCGGACTATCAGTAGATACATCACAATGAACAGTGGAGGCATGAGCTAGTAGGCTTCTCTAATACTCACGTAGTAGCATAGTACAGCCTATTATGGCTCTTTTTGGATGATATATGCAGTTAAAGCGTATTTAGCCAGTAAATAGAGGATAAAAAGAGAAAGTGTGTGAGCGAATAGTATTATACTATTCATCACTAGTAGAACTGTAGTTTTGGAAGGCTAGAGAACTAGAGAATAGCTGAAGAAAAAGTGTAGAGAGTGAAAGAGAGCTGAAGATCATTCTCAGAATATCTTGAGTGTGCGCTTTCACAAGGCGGTGTGAGTGTAGAAACAATGTAGTGTAGTTTATTTTACTTCTTTTCCACTTTTGATGATTTCATCAATCATTAATATTTTAGTTGCTGCTAAGACTGAGGACTGGATTGTGTTTTTCACGATCGCATAGTTGTCAATTATGTTCATATCGAATGCGTCTTTTATCTCGCCTGTTGATATTTCAATGGCGGAGTTCTTTGTCTCTGATACTTTGATCTTTGAAATCATTTCAACAGAGTTGTACCCGAGGTTCTTGATGAGTATTTTTGGAATAGACATCAAAGAGTCTTTCCAGATGTTATAGGACACTAGATTCTCCGTTGTGTCTTCCTCTGGTACGAGCGACTCTGCAAGCTTGTAGTATGTAGAGGTGCCCCCTGGGACCACATACCCGTCAGAAAGACCGCACGAGATGGACTTGAGCGCAGACTTGACAGCGCTCTCTAGGTACTCCATTTGGTATGGAGATATTCCCTGGATGAGAAGCGTGCATGTTTTGTTGAACGGTGTTTTTTCAATAAAAGTGAATTTGTCATCACCCACTGATATTTCTCTGACCAATCCAGCAAATCCAAAGACATTTTCGTTTAATTCAGAAATACCCGTGACGGGCGTGCATCCCGTAAGAGACTGCAGTCTCTCCATGTTCTTTCTCTTCGCTCTTCTCAGCGCTAGAATGTTGTACTTTGCAAATATTTCCAGTACGTGTGCATCAATTCCCTTTTGGGTAATAATCATAAACTGTGGCTTCTGGCTTTGATTTGCAATGGCTACTTTCTGTATGACCTCCAGCACTTTCTGCACTCTCTGCATGATCACGTGTCTCTCTCCCTCTTCCATCTTCAGCTTTTCTTCCGTGGATTTGTAGTAGAACTGTGCGTTGTGCTCTGGCTTCTCGTACTCGAACGAGATGTTGGTGCACAGAATAAACACGTTCTCCAGTCTTCTTGGCATCATTGGGTGTCTTCCGCCGTGGTCCATCACCAGGCCTTTTACTATGCGCAGGGGCTCAGTTGCGTCGATATCTGCCATCTTGACGATTTCCAGCATTTTCAAGTCTGTGGTGTTTCCGCTTCTCACAGTTTCTGCTGCTGACACTATGATGTTTGAGTATTTCTCGGTCTGCTTCTTTGAGAATTTTGTTCTTAGCGCGGTGTACGCTAGATTGTAGATTGTGTCTTTTGTGTCTTCAATGGGCACCTTCATGCTCTCGAGTGTTTGCAGTATTGCTTTTTCTCTTTTGAGCAGCCCGGCTATAATCACTTGGGGGTGCACTCCTTCGTATATGTACTCTATTGCTTTGCTCAGCATGGAGGCTGAGAGAATGATGGAAGATGTCACTCCGTCTCCATACTCTTCGCCCTGCTGCGTGACCATCTTGGAGAGCAAAACAGCCCCTGGCTGGGCTAGCTGGATGTTTTTCAGCAGATTAAAACCGTCTTTTACGAGCCGTATTTCACCCGCTGGGGTTATTAGCATCTTCAGTGCTCCGTTTGGGCCAAATCCGTTTCTTATTGTTGCATTCAGCTGCGAAATAGCTTCGGTATTTAAAACTATGGCCTGTCCGGCTTGCGTAATTTGTGTTTCTTTTCCGAGGTATGCCATGTGAAAAAATAAAATGAAACTTTTTTATGGCACCGGGTCGGAATGCGGGCTAAAATACTTTGTCTTTTCAGATGGCAGAGCTAAGCTCAGAATCTTTGAAGTGCATGCAGTGGAAGAGGGTCAGTGCCAGTTACTCTATTTCTATATGCTATTGTTTTCTCGTTCTATATTTTCTTAATTTCTTTTATTTAAGCACTTTGTATCGTATATACACAACTATCTAGATCATTAAGTTGCTTACAATCTCAGCAGATAGTGTTCTTTTGCTGCAGTCTGCTGATATCCATTGGAGATGGCTTTACTCTGTGCTAAGCATCTTTTAGCTACTTTTTTATTTATGCAGAGCATAGAACAGAATTTTACAGTGCAAAAATATTTTGTAAGTGTAAAGATGTACACTGTACAATTACTTTCTCTACAGATTTTTAAATATTAGCTACGAAATTTAATTATTTCTGCTTCTCAAGTAAACAAGAAAAGTGAATGTAAACAAAGACTAAGAGTAAGACTCTCTGCTGATCTGTTCTAGAGCGCGTATTAAATAGTAAATCCTTTTGATTGTACTCTCTTGCAATAAGATGAGCACTTATTAATTGTTCTTAAAGCCTGTGAAAATGCACAAAGCTATGACTTAGATTGCAGTGCAGATGATAGAGATTACAGCTGAAATAAGAGTCTCTGTCCATATTAAGTATATGCAGATTTTTAGTGTTTGTATCTCTTTATTTATTAGTCTTTTTAATTGAAAGTATGCAGATCATAGAAAGTATTTTTAGAAGCTCGATGGATCTAGAAAATTGTTATTCGATAAGAGTCAGTAGATATTTAGAACAAGAATGCATAAGACATTGCTAGATGCAGAGAAGCAGTTTGGACGCTGCTGTGGGCAGCAGTCATTGAACGAATTTAAAACACAGTCCAGTAAATGCACCTATAGAAAAGTGCCGCTTAGTTTTCTCGTAAAGAATGGACAGTAGGCCTGCTATTTCTTCGAACAGCTGAGCTATGTTGTATAGATACAACTAAACCACTGTATATTCATAGAGAGAACATGCATTCGTATCTCCAGCGGTTTGGAGCTCTTTTGGCCTTTGAAATAAAATGTGTTTTAGACTGTACTTTGCACTCTGTTTTACAGTCTCTAATTAAAAAATATAAACTTATTGACAATGCTAGTTTGATTTTTAAAATTAATTAATAAAAACAAGAAAACAAAGAGCTCTACTGCAGTAAATAGAGACAGGATTGCATGTATTTGGTGTGTATGCCCTCTGCAAGACCTTCCTTCTGTTTAAAAAGTGTCTGTTCATTTTCATTGGAGCGTTTGTGTCTTAGAATCTGCCAAAAAGGTCTCAGATAAGAAACTTTTGTTGGTTTAATGCTAGATTTTTTGTTTGGTGTGCATTTAATAATTGGTTAGTATAGATATAAATATACCTGTGATAATATACAATAGATTATGAGCATCAAGACAGAGGAAAAAAAGAAAAAAATAGCAATATACCCTGAGCAAGGCAAAAACGAGTATATTAGCACAAGCTTATCGGAAGAGGCCAGCCCTGTGGAAAGAGAAGGCGTCTGGGGGAACACGCAGGAATCAATTCTCGGGGACAAGCCGTACATCCTCCCAAACGGAGAGATCTACAAAAAAAGAGTGCGAACTGTAATGACGCCCATGCAGAACGAGTCTTTGCGCAGATACTTCCAAATGAACCCTTTCCCCTCGTCCGAAGCACGGGCCTCCATCTCTTCTTCCCTTGGCATGCGGCCGCGCACTGTGCAGATATGGTTTCAGAACCAGCGGCAAAAGATGAAACACGTGGTGCAGGAGGAAGAGAAGATAAAAGAGTCCAGAGAAACCGTGGTGTACACGGGAGAAAAAGAAGAAGAGCCCCTGTGGGTGCTGGCTCATCTCTCATGCACTGTTTTAAACACAAATAATGCTATGTAAATTAAGAAGCCTGCTCGCGCCTGTCCGACTTACTATTTGAAAATAAATATAAAATATTTAGTGAGGCTTTGATTGAGATTGCTGTGCTATTTCTTTTCTGTTCTCTTATTATCCGCTCTGTTTGCTATTTGCTAAATCTTTTGTATCTAGATTCTCCTGCTATCTCAGCTTGTTTTAGATGCTCCCGTCTATCTCTCCATCAGCCTAGCAAATGCATAAGGGCATTTTGATATGCGATTGGTTGCCAAGAGAGTTGAGAAAAATAATTAATAAAATATTTACACCCACACTGAATAAATTATTCGTGTTCACCTAGTACTAGCTGGTCACTTAAAAAAGCAATTACCGCTTGTAGACCTTGCCCTAAGAAGCTAGCTACCCACTAGAAACAGCATATGTGTACATATCATCGCAAGGATTCGATGAAACACCAAAATATTCTGAAACACTCGCGTGCAGTATAACTTGTGAGGGCGTATTTGTAAACATGCGGAGAGAAGAGCAAGAGTACGAGTATCTATACAAGATAGTGCTCATTGGTGACAGCGGTGTGGGGAAGACCAACCTCCTTGAAAGACTCGCACACAACAGATTCAACACAAGCACGCGGTCAACAATTGGTGTGGAGTTTGATACGAAGTGTTTTGTGGTTGATGGGAAGAAAATAAAGGCACAGATATGGGACACTGCAGGACAGGAGAGATACCGGGCCATTACATCTGCTTACTACAGGGGAGCTGTTGGAGCCATTGTTGTGTACGATATAACAAGAAAAGACTCCTTTGACAGCGCCACCAGCCAGTGGATAAAACAGCTGAAAGACAACTCTGAAAGCGGCATCGTTATATCTCTAGTTGGAAATAAAACAGACCTAAATGAAAAAAGACAAGTATCCCTGCAGATTGCCAGAGAGGCTGCGCAGATAGGAGGATACCAGCTCACTGAGACATCTGCGCTCTCCGATGTGAATGTCCAGGAGGCCTTCCAGACTCTTATAGAGAAAATATACAGAACTCGGGCCGCAGACAGAAACACCTCCTCGAGACCGAATATCATAAACCTAGAAGACGATGCATCGCTAAAAACATCGAGCCACTGGTGCTGCTAATTTTTATTTAGCATGGGGGAGAAAAACAGTGCAGCGGGCAGTGGAAGAGCGTCGCTTGGCTCTGCAGATGCTCAAGAGCAGGAAATAAAGAACATTTACCGATATTTTAAAGACAGACCAGAGGTTATTGAGAGACACGCAGACGAGCTGAATGAGCTTGCAAAGGACCCAACAATTCAGAAGGCCTTTCGAAGACACTCGGATCAGTTCCGCAATATTAAGGAAAATCGGCTGTCGTATGAGCTGGAGAAGAACAGGAAGCTTCGCCTCATCCACAAATTCAAAAAAGAACACACAGACATTGAAAACATAACAAATCGGTGGAGAGACATACTGCTGTGTGCCTTTGAGGACCTAGTAAAATACACAGATAGCAAGGCAGTGGATCTATACAATGCATTTCATCTTAAGTCCATACACGTCCAGAAGGACGAAGTGGGAATTTACAGCGAAGAAGACCCGTCTACAGAGAACGAGTGAGTCTAGAGGTGGGAACATTCTAAATAAAATGCACTGTGGGGAGGAGACACATTTTAAAATTCTTGGGTTGTACTCTATCTATTTATTAATTATAATCGATCTTTTAGGGCAAGGATCTTCAACTTAAATACACTTTCTGATCTTTTCACTATTCTATCTTTTTATCAGCTTTTCATGATGCATGGACACATTTACTACTTTGTGACTGGGCTAAGCGAGAGCAATCAAAGAATGAATATTATACTGGAAATAGCACAGGTAGTGAAGCAGATCTACAACACTGACAGATTCAAATGTCAAACTGTGCTAAAACCCATTAATTACTTTATGCCTTTTCATATTTCTGCACAGTCCTCTTCCAAACTACTTGTAAAGATGCACACTCTTCTACTTCGCTGTGTTTGTTTTATTTCTATTTTCATATTTTTTCTTCAGATTGCTTTGTCTGTCTCAGACATCTGCTAGATGCTAGCTGGTAGATAACATAGCTTATCGTCTACTGCTCTTCTAGGGACTCTTGGTGGGTCTGCAGGAACACTATGAATAGCTTAATGTACTCTCCAATGTACTCTGCATGCTCCTTTGTCAGATTGAGAGTGGGCATGATGCGGCGTATGATGAGAAGCATTCTCAGTATGTGTGTGAGGCTGTATGTCTGGAGTATCTTTGAGGTTGCTGGGTACAGATACTCCTCATAGTACGCCCTCTCCTCTTTGTACAAAATGCACGTGTGAACACTGTACAGAAACATTTCTTTGAATCCTTTGACAGCCTCCTTGATTTCTTCAACACAGTGCGGTCTTTGCTCAGCCTGCACATCGTAAAAGAGGTTGAAGACTTCTTCTGCGGACATGCGCCCAGAAGGAGGCTCTTTGTACGACCGCATTGCGTTCTTTTCTTCTGTAAGAAGATCTCTGTATGCGGGGGGCAGCACTATTTTGGGCCATGCAACTCCTAGGCCGGTGGCTTCCCCTAGAAGAGCCGTGTCAACTGTCTCCAGAGAGGCTGCAGAGACCCATTTTGTCTGTCCAGAGACGGTCTTTACTTTGTATATCGTGTGGACATTCGACACGCCCCGGGGCTTGTCTTTTTTCTCAAGAATAACCCCCATCTCCTTCAGTGCTTCTGTTGTAATGAGAACTTTCTTGCCCTCTGTGAGTATTGTTTTGGCTGTCTTTTCATTAAGCATTGCAAAATTTTTATTGGTGCGCTCTGTAATAAAATGAGTGGTTTGGTTTTTTATTTTATTTATTGGGCAGTTATTCAAATAAATTCTCAAAATATACTTGCATCTACTGAGGTGTTTTAATTTAATTTATCATCAAAATATTTTCAAAGAGAGCCTTCTGTGCTCAGGAATGGGGCTACTGCACAGAAGAAGAATCAAAACATCGGTAGAACAGATGGGGCAGGAGCAGCAAACAATCTATACTTGAGCAGTGCTTATTTGTCAATTATATCCTGGTGATCAATGCGCGATCGCAATAAAATTAAATAAATACGCAAATTTAACAACTAACGAATTCAAGAAAAGACCATCCTATCTTCCAGCGCTCTCTGCACAAGCTCTCCAGCAGGTGCAGCTTTTCTCCCGATGAGAGGCTGCAGAGGAAGACACTTTTGTGCCGTGCGCTTTATTTTGTTTTTGTTTTTAATTAATTTATGTGATATTCCATTTTTAATTACTTTAATAAAAATAAAAATGAAAAACAAAAGAGACAAGGGTAAAATGTAAATGCTAATTGGTCTAGTATTTTAGGGGTGATGGTATAAGAAAAATTTTTATTTTCATAACGAAATGTGTGCGCAGCAGACATATAATGAAAATAGAAATAATACAGATAATTCATTTGCTGCCAAGTCTTTCCACTCAAAAATATTATCACGAAAGGGAAGAGGACTGGAGAACGAAAAGTGGCTTGAATCGGGCATAATGGAAAGCGTAGAGGTTCTTATCCTCGACGAGAATCAGTTAAGCACCGTCCCCGTGGGCGCGCTGAAGAAGTATTTTCCAAAGCTGAAGATTCTGAGCATGAAAGGGTGCAATTTGGAGAGGCTTTCCATAGAAGCACTTTCGCATCCCACTCTTGAAATTATTGATGTTGAGGGAAATAAAAATTTAACACATTTGGCAGTGTGGGAGGAGGACTCGGACCAGGAGAGAAGCCACGAGGGCCTAGGCCTTCCGTCGCTGCAGGTGCTGAACATGGGAGCAACAAGCATCAAAAACATCGATAGCTCTTTTTTCAGTTACATGCCAGGACTTCTTCGGCTGCACATGTACGCAGAGGGCCTGTGCGGTGGATGCGGGTTTGGATTCCTCTCAATACTGGAGGTGCTGGAGTGTCTGAAGATAACGGGAGCCAGAACAAGCTCGTGCACCATATGCAAAACAGAGAAGCATGCCGCAGGATTCTCTACCGCGATTAAATACTCTTTGTACAACATGGTGTGCAAGATGACATCGCTGATTGAGCTAGATCTCTCGGGGAAGGGAATGAACATAGACTATTTTGTTTTCCACTCGCCGCTGCCGTATTTGGCCACTCTGCGCATGCAGGGCAAGCTAGTGAGGGACATGAGTCTGAGGGACTGGCCGGGCATTGTAAAGACAATTAGACATCTGTCGCTTGGCGCCATAGATGACACAGATGAGCCAAATAGCCAAAAATCATTCAGCGAGTCCACTTTCTATGCAGAGAGAATACTCGAAGCAACAAATCTTGAAAGTCTTTCATTTGACTGCGAGACCACGAGGAGGATTAAGTTCTCCCTTGGAACAAAAAAAGTTGTCTTTCCCTATCTGCGCCATCTGACGATCAAAAATTGCGATCTTAGGCCGCTCACTTTCTTCAATAAAGAAAATGCACCGGTTCTGGACAGCTTGGAGATTATCAGCGCGTCGTTCACGGAGGGATACTTCTACACGATAAAAAAGAGGCTTGGGAACAGACTGCGGAGCTTGAGAATTGGGATAGAAAGGATGGATGCGCCGCAGGCTATTTATGACCTTTTTACGTTCATTCGGAGCCACAAGAACTTGGAAATTCTGCACTTGACAGTGTGCGATACAATAACCGAGTCGCAGAGCTTCTACAAATACTTCAGCGATCAGCCCACTCTGAAAGAGCTGTACGTCATTGGGAAAATGAGCCTGCAGCGCATGAAAAGATTTCTGTACCAGCTTGGCCGGTGCTCGTCTTTGACGAATCTGCTCCTTGACATTGAAGACCCCGTTCTTGTGCTATCGCACTTCTATCCCATCAAAAGCCTGCAGCAATTTTCGCTGAAGGGAACGTATAGGAACCATGCGTCGTTTTTTATGCCGCAGAATGGGCCGTCTGAAGACTTTAGCAAGCTGACGGAAATGAGCTCTCTGCAGGTTCTTGATCTTGGGTATTGCGGGTTCAGCATGTTTCCGTCTTTTGTGCTTCTGCATCTAACTTCTCTGAAGTATCTCTACTTGAACAACAACAACTTGCACGGGATATCAGAGCATATTATCTCGTATTTTGCGTCGATAAAAGAAGAGCCTCTATTCGTTGACATCTCCGGCAATCCAACTGAAGTGGAAAAAATAGAGCAACAGCTGACCAACGGCACTTGGCTTGGGGCTTCAGGATTTGTTATATATTGAAGACTCCTTACAGCAATAAACATACAAACAAAAACCTTCTCACACATTTTATTCTCTTTCTACACAAGATGAGCTCCACCCTATCCAGCCGCTCTATTTGTCTGTGTTTGTTCTACCGCATACAGCCGTGTTTGTTGTAGCTGTTGGATGTTTATTTGCGCTACTTATGGCTTTGTCAGAGTGTTCAATGTTTTTCTTTTAGTTGCTTTTAAGAGAACATGCAGAGATGGATAAACAGATTTTGCTGTACATTTTGTGGTGATCTGTGCAGAAAGAGGCAGAGCAGTGCTCATATCCTGGTGTAAATATTCTTATCTTACTTGAGGATGCTCTCTGGCGCTCACATGTTCTTTGAATTTCCTAGAAAGCAGTATACAAAAATCAATATTCTGAATCCAGAAAAATGAGTTTTTTAGTGGGCTCTAAGCAATGTTCTATAAAAGGAAAACTGAGACACACACCTATATAGAGAGATGCAGTTGTTAGATGTGATGGGTGGAGTGAATAGGACAGCATTGGCCAATTCCATTGGCAGAATTTTTCATAGTTCCAAGCACATTAAAAAGGCAGTATTTGCAAGCATCTTATACTTTGCTTGTGTTGTATCAGTAAAGCCTACAGATGGACTGAGGGATTTGCCACTAGAAGACGGGCTCACATTGCAGAGAACCATCGATGTTTTGAGACACGGGAATGCAGATATTGACCCATGTGAAGTAGAGTTTAATCTAACTAAAACCGGAGAAATGCAGATGGTGGGCCTAGAGTCTGTGCACATTTGCATAGATATACCCAAGTATTTGGAGATAAAAGATAAGGTGCATGGATTTGATGATTCTATACTGTATGAAACCGTGTCAATTGTTGGCGGCCAGTCTGTCAAAGAGGGCAAAGATGAGGAGGCGCAGAGCGCGCTCTGTTTGCAGTTTATAGACGCCTTCAAAGGAATAAAAACAGATGAGCTGCACATCAGCAATTTTTCTTTGGCATCCAAAGAGAAAGAACTAGCGCCTACTGATCAGCACAGAAAGGCATCTCCAAAATACACAGTTGAAATCGAGAAAATTGTGTTTAAAAATGTCAACCAGCAGCTGGCCATTGACATCTTGAGAAAGTACGTGTTCAAATGCCCTGTGACCATAGTTTTCAAAGAGATGGACGATATTACATGGGAGACTCTGATAAAGATTCCAAAGAGCGCAAATTACAGGAGAATAGAGGTGGAGAAGATAAAAAACCTGGCCCAGCTAAACGAGAAGAAGCTGTACTCTCTGAGCAGAATAATTCCTTTTTTGAAAATCACAGCAGGCAGCGGCAAGGACAGCATTATGACTCTGGGCGCTGTTGGCGAAATTCTTTTCAAGTATTTCCTAGACACAAGAAGAACCACAGTGAGCATGTATAAAATATTCCTCAACTTCAAGATGCTTGCAACAACCCTGGAAAGCGACAAAAGCATAGTGCTTGTGGCAGAGAACATCAAAGACTTTGACGTGAAAGACAGAGAAAGCGATGAAGATCCGTTCCATTCTGAAGCAGAAAACTGTCTCCTAGACAGTTTCTCATCTCCTCTCAAAAAAAGCGTACAAGATACGCATTCTCAGTTTTTCTTCTTTTCCAACCAGTACGAGTTTGAGATTAAGATTGAATTCAAGAACCCGCAAGCACTCACCCTGCTGCAACTGAAGAAAGTACTCTATTGGATGACGCAGACCTGCAGGAAGGTCACCAAGCTAACAATTTCAAATCTGGTAATGTCTGCGGACATGCTGCAGCTTTTCAGCTCAATAAGAGTATCAGTGGAAGATTTGCTGTACCTGAAATATCTGTACTTAGAAAAGATCAATGGGCTGGAAACTAAGCTCATGCTGAAGAACACAGACTATACTTTAAACAGCTCGACATTGGAGAAAATACACTTTGATCCGCACTCGCTCTATCCCACATGTCTTCCCATGCACATGTATATTAAAAATAGCATATCCAAAAAAGTAAATGCCGATTCTAGCAATGTGCCTGATCTTTCAGTTTTGTATCCCGGAGTCTCCGTTGATGACGAGCTGGTGGCCTGCATGGTGTGTCCCCTGAATGTATTCAGATACCAAGATGGAAAAAAAGGGTTTGAAACGACAGAAAGTGCTATTTCTCTGCAGGAAATCGAGAACATGACCTGGGAGGAGTTTTGCGAGTGCAAAAACAAGAACCATATTGAAAAACATCTGATGTATGCGGACATAAAAGACATTGATAAGATAACAAAAGAAAACTTCTGCAACGCAGTCAGCTACTTTTCCCGAATTCCCTTGGTTATCTTTCCTGTCTGCAAACACACAATGTGTGTGAGGTGCTTGAACGGCGGAAAGGAGCATCTAAAAAGGGAGATAGAAGCTGAGCTGGAGATGCAGAACTTCACAAACATAGAGTGTCCAATGTGCCGGCAGATAAATATGTTTGATAGCAGCATTCAATACCCCGTCTATGTTACAAAGAGAAGCCCTGCAGACGATGACTGGATATACAGTGCAAGTAGAACCCACTCAGAACCTGAAAATAACGGTGCTACAACAGATGAAATTATGTTCTTCAGGTGCAGCGGATTTAAGCCCAAAGAATACTACATGGAGCGCATTCCATACTTGGCCAAGCAAGATTTGTTTTTGAGAAAAAAATAGAAAGTTTTTCTGAGAAATATTTAAATGGCCAGAGCTAAAACTAAAATCCTGTACACTATTTAAATAAATAAACAAGTCGATGTATGAAAATTTTCTTTTGTCAGAGCTTTTTTAAAGTATTTATTGGAAAAGGATAGAATTTAATGGTTAATAAGATTTTATTCTTAAGATAGTGCTTTAGTTAAAGAAGTTGAAGATAGTATAAAGAGAAATACACCCTTGGTGTGGATTAGCCAAACTTATTAGGTGATTCAAATAGAACTCTTGGCTTCTACTCTTCATACTCACTATGTGCAGAGAATGAGTATCCAGATGAACTGCAGAGCAGCGGTGGTACAGACATAACACAAGAAAATTCAGTAACTAAAGTAAAGGCTAGACTATTAATTAAATTTGTTGCACCAAAAGTTTATTTCACTTTTGTTTTTCATTTTATTATTTGAGATGTTCTAGTGCATTCTAGCATGCTAAAATACGTGAGCAGTAAATAAGAAAGTAAGACAGAATACTAAAAAACTATTCTAAATATCACCGAAATACAAAATCAGCTGAAGTACAGATCGAGAATATAGAGTATTATAAAAGTACATAGCTATACAGTGGCTCCATCGTTCGATGAATAAAATGGCTAATAATAAAACAGCTCTCCCAGCAGGTCAAATACTGTAAATAGAAAAAAATGATTTTTTTGCATGAAAAATCAGAAATTAAGGGAAATGCTAAATGCAGTTATTCTAGCGCTATTTATCAGAGGATGCACAGCAGGTGAAGACCCCTTTAACCAAGACACAGATAGAGCAGCAAGGCTAGCAAACGGCTTGTATCTACCAGCCCCTGATCTATCGATGGGGAACAGCGGTTTGTTTTTTAATGCAGGCTACTACAATCCGATGAATGGAATGGGATACCAGAATGCGCAAGCAGAGCAATATGCAGCATGGCACAGCATGGCTGGGAGTGCTTTTGGCGTGCCATATAATATGCCTGGCACATCTAGAGATGGAATAGACGGGAGATACTTTCCCTCTACAAATCCATATATGCATGGAGTGGGAGGAAGTGCATACATGCCTCCTGATCAGCAGGGTAGAGCTGCAGAACAGTGTGAGCAGATTGAACAGCAGCAGCATCTAGCACACTCTGGTATGGACGAGCCTGATTTCAATGATGGGCATGCGATTGCAGGGCTATCCATAGAAGGTGATAGCGAAGATATGAGAAGCGATCTATCAGATGCGCATGCACAGCAAGGCAGCAGAAAAAGAAAAGCAAAAAGCGCGCTAAAAAAAGCACCCAGAAAAACTAAAAGACAGAAAAAGAGGGAAGTATGTAGCGATGAAAGTGATGAGAGTGGCAGTGATTCCATCCAGGATAACGAAGTGTCACAGACTGAGAATGAGAATAAAAAAGCACTGTTGAGAGACATAAAGACACTTGACTTCAAATTGTGGAATGAAAAAAGGCTAAACAATAAGAGAAGGAGAACCTTCAGAAGACTGCGCAAAAAAATACACTGCTACAGCTACTCTATTAAGAGCATCCTCCAGCAGGTAAAAGGCGGTTTCTGCCAAAGGAATCTCAGAGCGTACATCGATTATTTCTCGGAAAATATTGCAAAGCATGTGAGCCAAAATCCCCTACTGTATTTTATTGCAATCAGATCTGATGCCATAGATATGAGGTACAGGGATCTTCTCGGGCTCAGAGAGCTGCTCTCAAATGAGAAGAATAAAGAGTACAGGGAGAAAATGGAAAAGATCAAGGGGTATTATCCAGGCGTGGTTGACGACCTGATAAAGTATGTGGAAGACAACGGGCCGTCAAGAATTCTCAAAAAAAACCTTTCCTCTGACTGCAGAGAGACTCTCGGCGATATCTATCTGCGGAAATACCTTGAGCCAAAGTACTTTGAAGAGCAGGAGAATGAGACAATGGGACAGATTGACGGAAAGTACGCTGCACTGGCACATGCTATGCGCATGCTTTTAATACTGCCCGAGGTGTGCCAGGACTTCTCCAGTATCACTGAGGCTATTGTAGAGAGCACACAGACCTCAGAAGACCCCAGCACAGACTCAGATAACTGTGCAGTCCTTCTGGAAATAATGGCATTTGTGAGAAAACACACGAAAAAAGAAAAAGATGATGTTGCGTATGAGAGTCTCTACAATGCGCTGGAAAAGACAGTGGGCTCACTCGAGAAGCTAACAGCAGTTGATCTGTACGAAGCAGTATACAAAATTATTGGAAGTTTTTACGAGAATGCACTCGTGATTGATGAAAAGAACAACTACATTCTGCGGGGAAAGAACATGCTGACGAATCAGAAGTACATGGAATGCGCAATAGATGTAAAGCTGAGTCCAGATGGTGCTCTCATAGAAACAGATGATGCAGAATACACACCAAGAGAAAACAAGTGGAAAGTTTTACCCAATATAGAAAAACACTATCACGTGTACTATGTTGACAACAAAACACTCCAAGTCAGAATGCTGTGCATGCCCATATACACAGATGCTAAAAAACAAGAGCACTATCTGCACACAGTTGACGATATAGTAAATCACATAAAAGAGCTTTACGGGGTAAAAGAAAGCTCGAATGTTATCCATCCCCTTAAAGTGCAAAGAAGCCTGAAAAATGCCAGAAGCAGAAGGTGGTCGTATATCGAGAAAGAGGAGAGGAAGAAAACAGTAAAAGAGCTCGCAGAGTACGAAATACTGTTCTACCACATCGAGGAAGAGACAGCAGAAAAAAGCTTTACTTTCGCAGAGTTTAGGCCGTACTATTCGCATAAAAGGGACAGTATTGGCATACCGCTCTTCCTTACTCCTCTGATGCAGTCTTCTGCAGAGATAGGGCCTTTTACTAGGACGGGAAAGCACAAAGAGCTGGGCTCTCTAGAGCTCAAAGACGCAGAACCAGCTGTGTACATGTACAATCCGGCCTACATAAACAACGAGTATTCAGATGTGCACTGCTACTACAGCAATCTGTGGATATCATTGGATGCAGAAAAGGAAGTAAGCCCAGAGTGCTACATTCTGAACTATCAGGCCCTTGAACAAGCAGATACGAGCGATGGCGGCAGCAAGGTTGTTAAGGTTATGTGGTACACAAGAATGCCTGAAAGCGTGGATGCATACACACACTACATACTGGACAGCTCTTTTAAAGAAGAAGAAAATTTGGAAAAGTTTAATACTTTCATTGCAGCCGTAGAGTCGAGAGATCACAACAAGGACAGCGATCTGCAGGGATTTTGGATGGGCAGTGGCAGTGCGGTGGCAAAAAAACCAAAAAGCAGGAAACAGGTAATATTCAACTGGCTGGACAAAGGCCAAGAAGAAAAAAGTGCAGATCTGAGAAATAGGGATAAAAAGAAGATGGGTGTAAAAGAACTAGAAGCTGCTTTCAAAGAAGCCAAAGAAATATATGAAAATGCTGTTGTTAGGTGCGAAGAGCTGGAAAAAGAGCTGAAAAAAGAGATAGAAAAAGATGGCTCGAGTAAGATGCAGCAAAAAGTAAATGCAGCAAGATCCAAAAAGAGTAAAAGAAAAAAGAAACAGGAAATCCTCTACACTGAGCTGCAGTACAAAAAACTGTACAGGAAGCCCGAGCCGCATGCAGAGTTTATAGTGCTCCGCTGTGTGAACCGCAGCAAGTCCAATCTCGGAGCACACAACGAGATTCTTGACACTCTGGTCTCCTGGTATGCTCGCCAAATATACACCAAGAATGAATAAAGTTTTTGTTTAATTTACCACTTCTTCTCTCAGGGTCTTTTATCCAGGAAAAAATATAAATGTCAGAGAATGATTTTTTTGCATGAAAAGTCAGGAGCTAGGAAGGTTTTTGAGTGTGGGTGCAGCTCTTCTTCTCTTTATCACAGACTGCCAAGGAAGCAGCGATGTTTTTAAAAGCCAGATTGTCAGTTCTGTGCCATCTGCAGGCAAGAAGAGAAAAGAGAAAGAAATAAGCAGATCAACGAATCCGTGTGTGCCCAAGTCCTCATCAAAGAGCAAGAAGCGCAAGGAAGAAGACAGCGATGACAGTGCGGTAACAAGAAATGCTAGGCTGATCCAGAGCGATGAAGTGTTACTGAGGGCCAAGAAGCAGAAAAATAAGCTGGAGCTAAAATGCCTAGACATCGAGCTGTGGAATGGGAGAAGGTTGAGCAACTCAAGGAGGAAGAAGTACAAGACATACCACAAGACAATATATACCTACGATGTTTTGCACGAAAGCCCAGAAGAGGAGGTAAAGTGCGAGTCCTATCAAAAATGCCTCAGAGAAGACGTTAAAGAGTTTTCCACAATAATTGCGCCCCTGATAAGACAAAACACCCTCCTGTACTTCATTGCAAGCAGAACCACAAACGTGCACACAAAGTACAAAGACCTCTGGGGCCTGCAGAGCTGGTTTGACAGTGCAGATAGCCCAGAAGATGAGAACAGTGAGTATAGAAACATAGTGGAGGGCTTCAAAGGATACTACCCGGGCATATTCAAAGACCTGATGGCATATGTGAGAAAGCACAAGCCAATGCACACTCTTAAACTCGACCCTTTGACTGTGTGGAGGGAGAGCCTGGGCGATGTTCACATGCGAGAGTGTCTTAGCCTAAACTACTCCATGCTAGCCGAGCAGAAAAAGATCAAAGACTTTGACAAGAAGTACTCTTCTTTGGCGTATGCTGTGAGCATGATTATAATGCTCCCTGAGGTGTACGAAGACTTTTCTAGCATTAGTGAAGAGTTCATAGCGAATACCTATGCCACAGAGGGAGCAAGTGAAAATAGCAAGAAAAAAGACCATCGAATTGCAGCAGCCATGCACACGATAGTGCAAAAGCATGCAGCAGAGGACGTGGATGAGAGCGCGTACGAAGATCTCTACAATCTCCTTGAAAAGATATATGGCGAAGAAAAAATGAAAAAGTTCACAATAGTTGAGCTCTACAGGAATATGTACGTATCTCTTGCGAACTTCTACAAAAAAGTAGCAGTGGTGGATGAAAATAAGCATGTTCTCGTGGGGAAGTGCATCATCACAAACCAAAGGTACATGAAATGCGAAATGTCGCTCGGGTCATCTTTGGAGACTCCTGATGAAAGTAAAGTAAAGCTTGCATATTCGCTTGTGTACAACAGGTGGGACATTGCACCTGCTACAAAAAAACACTACCACGTGTACTACATAGACAGCACTGTAACCCAGCCCAAAGTGCTGTGCATGCCCGTATATAAAGATGCGAGCGGTAGAGAGCACTACTTGCACACGCTTGATGGGATAATAAGCCATATCAAGGAGCTGTATAAGATGGAAACACTGCTGGGCGATGTGCATCCGTACAAGATGGACAAAAAAACCAAAAAGTGGTCGTACATAAAGAAAGAGGAGAGAGGCAGGACAATCAAAGACCTAGAGGAGTATGAGGTGGTGTTCTACCACATTGAAGAAGATTTAAAAACCACAAAGTTTGTTTTTGCAGAGCTCAGGCCTTTAACACCGCACGATTACGACAGCGTGTGCATACCGCTCCTTCTCAGCTCCCTGATGCGGTCTGCGGTGGAGCTGGGGCCCTTTATCAGAATGGACGAGCATAGCGAGCTAGACTCCATAGAGTTTGAAAATAAGCAGCCAGATGTGTACGCATACGACACAAAGTACATAGACGCCGAATACTCAGCTGTATACAAATACTACAGCAATTTGTACATACTCCCAGAAGAAGAAATGAAGGAAGGTATGGACTGCTATACGATGGGCTGCAAGATAGACGACCAGGACAAGAACAACATCACAGCTGAGTGGTACGTAAGAATGCCCGAGAGCGTGGATGAGTACACACACTGCATACCCGACGAGGCTTTCAATGAAAAAGAAAACTCAAAAAAGCTAGTGAGACTTATTGATGTGCTGGAGTCAAGAGAGCACTGCCAGGGCAGCAAGCTGCAGGGCATCTGGCTGCACAGCGACCAAGAGGAAAGCGAGATAGTAGACCAGAGACAGAGGATATTCAACTGGCTGGAGAAGGGCCAGGGGAAAACAAGTAGAATCACGAAAAGTCTGGAGAACATTAAGCTGGAGATTAGCAAAGCAGAAGAGAAGCTGGAGGATCTGAAAAAACAGAGAGAAGCCCTAGAAAATTCAAACGATGACATAAAGAAGATAAAAATGGAGAAGAACATAATAGGATGTAAGAAATTCAGGGCAAAAAGCAACATAAAAAAGTTGTACAAAGCGGTGTATGCAAAACTGTCCAAGAAGCCCAACCGCCAGGCAGAGTTTATAGTGTTTCGGAATGTAGACGACAGAAACTCCAACCTCGGCCTGCACAACGAGATTCTTGACGCTTTCATCTCTTTCTACAAGCGCCAGAAGCCCTGGAAAGGCAAATAAATATTATTTTGACCCTGACCGTTTTTATTTATTTTTGTTTAGTTGTATTCGCATACCTTACTAATAAAAGAGTGCCTAGTAGAGAGCGTGGCATAATAAAAGCTCTTGCTGGCTGTAAATACAGTGTAGAAGGTTTCTTTTCGCAGAGCAAGAGACTAGGTGCGCAGAGACACTGCTTTTTGTGCGTCTGTGCATATTTCCATTGTAACTGAAAGCCATAAATAGAAAAAATGATTTTTTTGCATGCAAAATCAGAAATTAAGGGCAATCCTAAATGCAGGTACAGTCCTTGTTCTGTTTATCACAGAGTGCCGAGGAAGCGGAAATGCTTTTAATCAGAAGGTGCCTGATAGAAGTGCCATGTACATAGATGAAGATAGAGTGGCGTGCAAACTAGGCGGCTTGTACTTTTCATCTGCTAGTTTTCCCATGTGCATCTCCCCCATGGAGAAAATCCGTTCTTTATATCTTGCAGACAGCATAGCAGGCCGGTCTGTGCAGCCTCAGCAATGTACAGCAGAGTCTAGCGCAGAAGAGAGTCTTTTAAGCCAGACAGATACAGGTGCAGAGCCTCCTAGAGAAAAAAAAAAGAAAAACGGATGAAATATACACAGCAGAAAGAACAGATAGTTCAATGGACTTTTGCGATGGCGTTCAATCACCAGCGAATAAAAAGCAGAAAAGTAGCCCGAGAATAGAACAGCCTAGCACATCTCAAGAGGACGAGTATGTTGAAGTGGTGGAGATATCTAACTCATCCCATCTGGAAGAAGATGCTGAAATGGCAGAGGAGGATAGTGAAGAGACAGCTCAGGATGACCAAAAAGCGTCAAAGTCTAAAGTGGCACAATGCACACAGAAAAAACAAAAAACGGACATCAGGCTGTGGAATGATATGAGACTGAAAAACAGAAAGGGAGGCTATCACAAGCCAACTGCTAAAATAGCATGCAGATACAGCTCCAACAGGAACGATCTGATTTGGACGACAAAGGATAAGCCATACCAAACACAGCTTAAGAAAGCTATTAAAAGCTTTTCTGAAAACGTTGCTCCGGTGATAACGCACAACACTCTGTACTACTTCATTGCAAGCAAAAATACAACGATGAACGCAAAGTACAAAAGTCTTTTTGGGCTGCAGGCGCTCCTTAAGAGCAGCGAGGAAGAGAGCAAAAAAGTGTTTAAGAGCCTGAGCGGGTACTATTCCGGAGTAATTGATGACATCATAGCGCTTTTAGAAAAACATGGCCCAACAAAAATCAGCACAGAAAACCATCTGCTTGAGCGAAAGGAAACTCTCGGGGACATTTATGCACGAGAAGACTCTGATCTGAAGAACCACTACAACCCAGAGGAGAACATCCAGGTGCAGAAGATGGACAAAAAGTACCACGTGCTGATATGTGCTGTGCGCATGGTTCTTGTGCTGCCTGAGGTGTACGAAGACTTCTTGAATGTCATCCCAGAGTTCATAGAAGACACCGAGACTTCGAAAGACTCGGGCACAAACAGAAAAAATTGCCAAGTTCTGCTGAAAATACAAGAGCTGGTGCACATGCACATGAAGAATGAAACATGTGCTAAAGTGTACGAAGGACTTTACAGTGCCCTGGAGGACATGTACGGTGCGGATAGAGTGCAGAAAGCAACGGCGGTTGAGCTGTACAGAGACATGTACACAGTTCTTGTAAAGTTCTATGAGAATGTGGAAGCGATTGATAGGAGCAGCAATAACTATGAAATTGTGGGAACATGTGTAATAAAGAGCCAAAAGCACATGATGTGCAGGATAAAAACAAATACTGCGGCGCTGGAAAAGAACGGTAAAAAAGTTTTAGAGTCCGAATACTCACTAAAGGAGAGCAGATGGAATGTTTCCCCTGTTGTAAAAAAGCACTACCATGTGTTATACGTAAACAACACATCGAATCAGCCCAGAAAGCTGTGCATGCCCATGCACGTAGATGAGAGCGGAGAAGAGCACTACCTGCACACAGTCAATGACATCGTGGACTGCATAAAGGCTTTGCATGAGCTGAAAGGAAATTCTGATGGTGTGCATCCGTACAAGATGGACAAACAGACTAAAAAGTGGTCGTACATAAAGAAAGAGGGGAGAAGCAAAACGGTAAAAGACCTAGAGGAGTATGAGGTAGTGTTCTACCACATTGAGAAAGAGATGGCAGAAAAAAGCTTTACTTTTGCAGAGTTTAGGCCCTTAACACCGCATGAAAATGGCAGTGTGTGCATTCCTTTATTCCTCACGCCCATAATGCAATCAGCTGTGAAGTTGGGCCCTTTTATCAAGAAGGGCAAGCACAAGGAGCTAAGATCGATAGAGTTTGAAGATGCAGTGCCTAGTGTCTACAAGTACAGCGATGAGTACAATGGACAGGAGTATTCAGACAAGCATAACTATTACAGCAATCTGTACATTCCAGCTGACAGAGAGAAAAGAAAGAGCGCAGATTGCTTTACCATGGAGTGCGAATCTGCTAAGCAGGACGATGGCGCTATTGAGGCTGTGTGGTATGTGAGAATGCAAAACAGTGTGAACGAGTACACGCACTTTATTCTGGACAAAGACTCATTTAAAAAAGAAAACTCGCAGAAGTTCAGCTCTTTTGTTGCAGCCCTGGAGTCGAGAGAGCACTGCAAAGACAGCAGTCTCCAGGGATTTACTCTGAATAGCGATGGCAAAAGCCTATACAAAGACGCATCGATAGACTCTCGAGTGATTTTTAATCTGATGACAAAGAGTGACTCCTATAACAAGAGCCTAAGCAGGTGGGACTCGGAGAGAATCTACAAAAGGGTCAAAAAAATAAAAGAGAAGCTACAGGAAATAGGAGAGATAAAGAGAGACCTGGATGAGCTATATAAGAGAAAGCACACAAAGGAGCTGGCAAGAGACAAAAAAATATCCAACTCCAAAAAGTTCTACACCAGGAAGGTTCTGGAGGGACTGTGCAAGGATCTATACGTAAAACGAGCTAAAAGACCAGATGCGCAGACAGAGTTTGTCGTGTTCCGCAATGTAAACCCGAGCAAGTCCAATCTAGGCGCATACAACGAGTTCCTTGATGTTTTCATTTCACCGTACAGAAAAGATAAGAACCCCACTAAGAATGATGAATAAAATGTAGACCATTTTAAGGCTCTATTATTTGTGAGATTCTCTGATTTTTCTGATGGTAGCCTGTCTATTTGCTCGTGCTGTATGCTTGCTATTCACATCCACTCTTTTTCACTCCAAAACTGAAGAGTAATATAAATGTTCTACAGACAAGCTGCCAC